CCACAGCTGGTGAGTGGGGGTGGGGGAGAGGGATACTGATCCTTGACTGGTAAAATCCAGCCCCCCATTTCCCCGCGCCACGGTGGATCCGTGGCAGAGTTTAACAACTCGCCGCTCCACAGGAGGGAGGAAGGTTCCCGCACTCCGGCCTGGCGCTGGCGAGGGCGCAGGCTGTGCGCCTCCTGCCCCCGGCTGGGTGAAAGCTGCCCCGCGGGGCTGCACCGATTTCCTGGCAGCTACCCGGGGAGCGGCAGCCTCTCTAGCAATCGTAGAGAGGCGACCGGGGGAAATGGGAGGACTGGGCTTATCTGTAATGAGTTTTGTCCCTTGGCTCTTGATGAGGAGATCTTTATCGCCTAGACTTCTGTGCGCCCTATTTTTCTTTTACTCTCGTGCAAAAAGTGGGGGAGGCGGGCTTTTGATTAAACGTGTAATTGAGCCAAGGTAATTAGCCATTTATAATTTTTGCCTAATTTTTCTGCCCCTATTTAAAACCATCTTGACGTGTTTTTAACGGCGCCTGCTGTTTCATCTCACCATGCAGGGTCCCCCACCCACCCAAACATCCCAACCGGATGCTAAATTTTCAAATAATATACAGATGTTCAGCGATCCTCCCGCAAGATGTGATTAGGGAAGCAGTTTCACACCCACACTTTCAAAAGAAACGCCTTTGAAAAGTTACCTTTGGGATTACAAACTAATAAAAGCCAGGAAGTTCCCGGGGAGGGCCCTCCTCTATCTTTAGCAGACCGGAGTGAACACCCTCCCCCAGGGTGGGGAGTGAGTCGACTTTGTTTGCTTTGGAATTTGGCCCTTCCTGGTTTTGTTGAAATCCTTACTCCCGCTTAAATGCTTGCCAGGGTCAGTTTTCTTGGGGAGTGTTGTATTTAAGGGATGTCCATCCTCAATGGGAGCTTTGAGTGAGGTTAGAATGACCGCTGTGTGTGACTACCTTATTTAAATTGAGGGATAAAATGGGGAAATCCGTGGAATTTGAATCAGAACAGAACACCTGGGTAGATATCCCCAGGTGAATTTCTTCCTTTGCAAAATGCGCATCACAAAAACTGACATTTGTGAATGTTTACTCTCTCCCGGGCATTGTGCTGAATTCTTTTCATAAAGTGTTCATTCGGCGAATTTACTGAGCACTTACTGTGTGCGGAGCATACTGGGAACACGGGCACAAATAAAAGGGACAAGGCCTGTGGCATTTGTGGAGCTTACCTTCCAAAATAAAGGACACATGCTCTCAGCCGCAAGAATTGTTAACCCCGCTTTATAGACAAGCCTGCTCAGAGAAGCCACATAACGGACCCCCAGCTGGTGACTAAGCAGAGTTAGGATTCTGAGGCCTGTCTGCCTCTCCAGATGTGAAAGGAGTGATGGTTTGAAAAGACAGTGAAATGTGGGAGGGGAAAAACAATGGCTTAGGAGGGGGAAACCTCTCCTGGGTTTGGAGAATGAAGTACTACTACTCTTATAGTACAGGAGGCCCACACTAAAAATGAACACCAATTAGGTCTGGTCTGGACACTGTCCTAGGACCCTAGGCTGACCTTTAAGCAAACTGTTCTTGCAAGCACCCTCCCACAACCTAGGCCTACCAGTTCACATAGCAAAATAAGATTTGATAGGCACGCGACACCGGAGGCCTTTTCATTCATTCTACAACCAATTACAGAACAGCTCATACACATTAGACATTGTGTCAAGTCTTTGCTGCACAAAATGAGCCAGCAGGGTACCTGTCATGCTTACAACCCCCCAGGGGATGTCAGGCTGCACAACACAGGGAGCACCCCAGGAGAGTTGGTGTGAGGGGCCTGGGAGTGCAAGGGCCTGATGGGAAGATAAGGCTACAGAGGGGAGGTTCTGGTGTAATAAATTACCCCCAAGCTCAGTGGCTTACAACAATACACATTTACAGTCTCACAGCTCCGTAGGTCAGACGTCTGGGCTCGGTGTGTCTGGGTCCTCTGCTCAGGGCCTCCCTAGGCTGAAATCAAGATGTCGTCCAGGCATCCTCATCTAGAGCTTGGGGTCCTCTTCAGAGCTCCTTCGGATTCCTTTGCAGCTGTAGGACAGATCCCTATTTTCTTGCCGACTGTTGGCTTGCCGATTGTTGGCCAGGAGCCATCTCAGCTAGAGGCCACCCTCAGGTGGAGGCCACGTGGCCCCCTCACAACACGGCAACTTACCGCTCCAAAGCCAACAAGAGACTCCCTGTAGTCAGCTACAAAGGAGTCTTGGGAGTGACCATCTCATCCCTTCGGTCAGATGATGTAACCTAAGGAAGAGAGTGCCTACTTGTCACAGTCACAGGCCTTACCCACTCTCAGAAGGGGGGATTATATACCAGGAGTAGGAACCTTAGAATTCTGCCTACCACAGCTCTGGTGGTCTATTTTGAGGATGGACTGGTGGTTAAAAGCCAGTACAGTCGGGTTCTGATGTTTCTTATACCTGCTTGACTACAGAAACTTAACCACTTTGTGCCTCGGGTTTCTAATTTGTAAGGAAGGAATAGTAGCTGTATCTACTCCTCACTTGAGAAGATTCAAAGGAGTTAAAAAGAGTAAAGTACTTAGAGCAGTGCCGCACCTCATACGCATTTAATAAACGTAAGCTACTACTATTATCTGCTCCAACAGCCCATGCAATGTGAAGTGAACATCTGTTGTTTTCTACCTACTCAGCTTCCATTTCTTTTCTTCTGGTGATTGACCAGTTTGCTTTGTGCGAATCTCCCCAGATGGTCTTGGTGATCTTGACCCCTTGTTCCTCCATCACTACCTGCTGCCTCTTCCTCTCCACCTCCCTGGCTTTGAATGGACATGCGTCCCAGCCCTGACTATTTGGAGCATCTCAGCCTTGTGGCCTGCTTGACTTAGGTTTGGCCACATGTTTCCACACGATTCAATGAGTCACACTTCTTCCTGGGTTTGCTATGCTGGATAAACTTAAGACTTGAGAAGCAAGGGGAGTTCCCCTTGGGAAGAGGCTGCTTGAGGATGAAGCTGACACACAGAGGAAAACCGAGGAGAGAGGTGGAGGCAGCATCGGATACCATCACTCGAGTCCTTGGATTATGTCGTACCTGAAGCCAAACCAGACCCTGAAGCTTTGTTACTTAAGCTGATACATTCCTTTTATTCCTTTTGGTTCTTTGAGTTGGGTTTTTATTAAGCTGAATTAAAAACTTGAAACCGCCAAAACCGGTTTGGCTCAGTGGATAGAGCGTCGGCCTGCGGACTGAAGGGTCCTGGGTTCGATTCCGGTCAAGGGCATGTGCTTGGGTTGCGGGCACATCCCCAGTGGGGGATGTGCAGGAGGCAGCTGATCGATGTTTCTCTCTCATCGATGTTTCTAACTCTCCATCTCTCTCCCTTCCTCTCTGTAAAAAATCAATAAAATATATTTAAAAAAAAAAAAAACTTGAAACCTACAACCAATGGTGAAAAATAAGTAAAATACTGTATTCATGTTTTCCCAAGAAAGAAGCAGGGGCTCTTTGAATTAGTGAATTAGCTGGGCCACTTATTTATGCATTCATTGGTTGTTTCTTGTATGTGCCAGATTCAAAAGGATGGGGAAATAGACTTTAGTTCTTGAGGGGAGGAGCAGAAAAGTTGCCTTGCAAAGGAGCATTAAAACAAGGGTGGGACAAATTGTGGCCTTTGCAAACAATCTACTTCCTATTAAAATTAAACGGTGCCTGCATGGATGGAAAATATGTTGAAGTACTAAGCTTTAGTACCTCAGTAAGCGGCCTCATTGGGAAGTAGGGTCTTTGCAGAGGTAATCAAGTTAAAATGAGGTTATTAGGGTGGGTCCTAGTTCCATAAAATTGATGTCCTTATGAAAAGGGGAAATTCGGACATAGATACAGATAAGCACAGCGGGAAGACAAGGGCAAACGAGGGAAGAAGATGGCCATGTGACAGGAGTGAAGCATCTACGAGCCAAGGCACACCAAGCATTGATGGCAAACACCAGGAGAGGCAGGGGAGACTTCCCCTCCGTGTTTCAGAGGAAGCGTGGCCCTGCCAACACTTGGATGTTTGACTCCCAGGCTCCAGAAGTATGAGATAATACATTTCTGTTGTTTTAAGCTACCCAGTCTGTGGTACTTTGCTAAAGCAACCCTAGGAAACTAAAAGAGCTCATTAACCTTTTACCCTGCATGGTTTTAATATGTCGACAAACCATACTCGTGACTGTTTTCAACCTCACAAGTGAATGCTTACAGAACAGTAACAACAGCAAAGCTTTTCTAGTCATTCTGACTGTCAGTTTGTGGCAATGTTTATTTTAGAGTAAATGAAATTAAGACTAGCAAA